TAGCAGCAACTTGGAAATAACACTAAACATCCCGAAACAAAACATGTAATAAAGGTAATTATGGGAATGAAAGGGGGACTGACTTGGTTGAAGACCATGTGAACGTCTGCTCTGGTAGTATTATAAGTGATCCAAACCTCCCACTGCTATATGGCTGCTGCCCAGCAAGCGCATGAAAAAGAAAATAACTGGTTTCTTTACGTGCCATGCGCTGGCAGGCACTGCCTTTTAGTTTCCAGTAAAGGACAGACAAAATTAATCCAGTTGGAAGTGGCACCATGCACTGTAAGGGCTGCATCCCCACCTAACTCGGCCATACACTGTACATTCAGGTCAGTCATGGACCATGAACTGTAAGACCCACTAAACCTGGCAGTGGAAGAGAAAGATAGAGGCTGAAAAGATAGAGGAAAATAAGCGAGAATCCGGACAAAAGATAAGAGAGCCTATGGAAGAGTTTGTATTATGAATAATGGGAGGGCAAAAGAAAAAAAGATCAATAGATAATAAGTAACACAGGGACAGGGTAGTAAAATATAAAGTAAAAAAGGAATTTTTTTTCACCCCAGTAAATCTGTCTATTAGCCATGACTTCATTGTTTTGGCCAATTGTGACATGTTCAACTTGAAAAGCTGAAATGGTGATGTCTTAGTTTAATGTTATAGGGTCTTGTTATATGTTTTTTCATACTAAGTATTTAAAGAGGCATTATGTAGTTTCCAGCGGCCACTAGCGGTGCGGTTCTAAGATTGCAACAAGGAGGGTGCTCCTACGTGTGCTCGCTTGAACTCATGAGCGGGCATAATCCGAAACACAACCACTTTCATACAGAAATCCCACAATAAACACAGAAACACCAGCGTACGGGCTGTGGCTTTTCTCCAGACATGTTCAGCCTCTGTTTCTTCCATGTTCCCGGCTCAGAGGCAGCTCAACACCGGCTCCATACCTTTCATTCAGTCCAGCGAGCCGCATATTGGCAGCGGCTATAGACAGGCAGGGAGAACAGACAGATCTGGAATCTCAGGTAAACTCCCACTGTAACGTTACAGTTTTATCAGCTGCAGGTTGAACTAATCCATGCTGGTTACATGATAACGTTACATTTACTGCATTTAGCCGACGTGCTACAGCGTTAGCTCGCCTGCTCCTTTCCAGTAACTATCTTTACTAACTGTGTATCTTTCACCGGAGGCTCAGCAATGTCAGCACAGCTAAATGTATTGGATGATAACAATACGGTTAGTGAGCTAGACTGAATATTATGACGAGATTGTGTCACTGTTTATAACAGTTAGACCACGGTAAGTAACTTTACTGTAGTGTTACTGGATGGCTCTTCCTCTGTGTTGTTGTGACGTTTTGTTGCAGTGTTTTATATTATGTGGGCCGCATTAGCTACAGCGACTGAGAGGTGGAGAAGCTGTGTACCTAAGAATCAGTAAAACCCCAATAAATCTAAATTGAACGTTGGGAAGCAAACAGCTGTGGATCCGTGAACACGATAGCTGTCTGCCTCTTCCCTGTATCACTATAAGTTAGGTAAACAAATAGATCCACATTTGCTTTGTACAGTTACATCCATTCTTGCAAGCAAAAATCAACACTTTGACAGGATGGCGGTGGTACAAAGGATAGTAATGGGTCGTGTTAGCTGGTGAAGTAATGTGAAAAGCGATACAACTTTGCATCGGATAACATTAGCAATTGCTCGTCGTTAGCCGCCGCGCTAACGTGACTTTGTGGTGTGACTGTTTTAACCCGACATCATCTCAATCTCGTTTGGTCTGACAGGCTTCTTCACATAAACCTTTATTGTTGTTTTTATCCTTACTTTATGTTGGAGTCACTTTTTTTATGGTGTTAGTGGACTGCATGTCGTTAGCTGCGGTGTTGTTGCTGTAAGTCAGAGAGAGGAACGGGAGCGTGCACAGGGCTGAATCCGACCCGGTGTCCTCACATTTATACCAGAATAGTGGATGATGCAAGCAACAGAGAAAACAGGCGTGTGCTTCATTTCTAAGTGAGTTTTGAGCCCATTGACAATAAGGTAATGAAAATTTTTATTATAATTACTAAATTTCAGTGAAATATTTACATATAGCCCATTTAAGGAGATTGTTGCTTTTAAATGTTCTGAAACTTAACTGTGAACTACAGTGACCAGTAACGAGGATGGACGTATTTTGATTTAAGGGGTATGGGGAATGTATTTTAAGTATGTGTGGGACCCACAGTAATGTTGGCCTTGTTAATGGACGCTGTTGGGCATGTTGATGGACACATAACAGTGGGCACCCCCCATTCTAATGTAGTATTTTAATTGTTTCGATTTTGCTTTAGTAATCTGATGTATATGCTATTGTACAATAACAACTGTAATATTTTAGTAGGTCAGTTTATGGGTATAATGTGTAAGGCTCACACAAGCACTTTGGGCAGCGTGTGGGGTCCTTCGGGTTAGACAGGAGGGCACACACGTCAGTCAGTAGACGTAAACAGCCTGCTGTACGTAGAGACAACATTCTGATGATGTGCTTGTGTTTCTGTATTTGCAGGTGAACAAAAGTGATGAAAAGAGGTAAAATGTGGTTACTCAGACGCATAATGAATGTGTAAGACGATAACGGATTGTCGGTAATGCGGACATGAGATGTATATCGTAGTTTTTCTAGTTAAATGAGATGGCATGTTGTGTTAACGAATAGCCTACATCACCAAGTATGCTAATGAGGACAACAGTAATTTAGCTACCTGTAGCCTGCTAAATATTTGGTGTGTGTGCACAACATTCTCAGTGTGTGTTTGTGAATGTGGACATTTTATGTGATGCGAGTTAAAGAGGGAATATGAATGTTGATAACGTCAGTCAGTAGACGTGAACAGCCTGCTGTACGTAGAGACAACGTTCTGCTGATGTGCTTGTGTTTCTGTATTTACAGAATTTACAGAAATGCATGCCTGGAAGTCCCTTTTGTGTCCAAGTGTGCAACATATGTATGTTTTTTCCAGGAAAAAGGTTTTGCCTATCCCCGCATATTCACTGGTGGCAAGTGAGGGATATTTACCTAGTAATTGGTCTACCGACACTGGCAGAAGGGGGGAAAACACATATCAACCTTGCCCAATAATTATACCATTTTATAAAGGATACGGCTGGTGGTAATTTAGATTTTTCTTATTGTTCACATATTTTCTAAAACAGAAAGGCAATGTAGTGTTCAGCTAACATTATTCAAACAGAAATAAACAGTCCATTTGTTTTGGACCATTTTCAGCTGTTGATTAGCTTAAAGATTTAGGGGCCTTAGTTTTACCAGGTTAATTATTTTCTGTTTTTCTTTCTGTTACTGTAATTGTAACTTTTTTCTTTCTTCACAAAAGGCACCGGTGTGCTGGAAACATACATATTTATGATTTTTTTTTTTGTCCATCACCTTCAGAAATGTCCTCTGTGTGTTCTAACATGTTGATACTCTAAAATAACAATAATCTATTGTATCTAGAATATTACTTTTAATTATTATTATTATAAAATATAATATTTTGCATCTCTTTTGTGTTGAGAAATAAAGGAAAGGCAACTAAACCCTTAAAATGAAGGTGAGGATGAAAGATAGATAAGATGATGCAGGGAGACAGAAAAGTTACTTTTCAACAGAAGATAAAACGATAGTTGGATGAGAGGTTTTACCAATGTTATTGCTCAGGTAAAGTGCAATGGGGAGGCAGCCCAAGTTAAAATGTGCACCTTACACACAACACAACAACAGAGCAAAGGCCGACCGTGACCACCTGTGTAGAGCAGTATTTGGTATTAACTGGACAAAAGGCTCTGGGTCTGACCGATATCTGGTCCGACTTTATTGCTCACTGAGCTTGAGCAGTAACAGTTGCCTTATAGGAGCTACTGAAGACCAGGAGAGCAAAGTACCATGATGCTGAGTTTTATCTGCAGCAGCAGAGCATCAAGGAAGAGAAAAATAAAATAGAAACTGAATACGCCTCTGCTCCTCATATGGATTCAACAGTAATTGTTGATCTTTTCGCAGCCTGGCCTCTGAAATTTTATGAAGTGAGCACAATGTTTTAAAATGCAAATAAGGTGCTCCGTGCATGAAAAAAACAGAGAGATGTACTTCACCAAGAGGAAAGGATTAGGTGGAGGAGACATAACTGGAAACAAGCAGAAGTTTGGCTTTTACAGTAGAAAGGAAGAGAGTAAAGGCCAGGGGTAAAAGGAAATAAAACTATGGACGACCCAGCTTCAAGTCACAACATGTACATTTTGACTGACATGAAACCAATACTGCAGAGAAACCATGTAACTGTAAACTATTGTAGTTCAATCCTACAGGCCTATAAGGAACACAACTGTCGTGCCAACATATTAATTTGAACACCTCACTCTGCTCATTGGCCATAATGCATCTATTATAATTAGTCTGCATTTAAAAACTAGCCATTCCCAATGGTTTAGTGTAGTTTCCTGAACCTAAACTTAATCTAATGTAAATCTTAAACAAGGGGTTAATTTTTCTAAATTTAATCAGTTAAACTTTTCATGTTATAACAACATTGCATCCAATTCGTATTGCTGTAACAAAATCCTTTCAAGGTGGAAGAATATATTTTACAGCACCTTGTATGCATTTCAGAGTTTGTGCTCAGTTCATAGTTTTGTTCAAATCTGCTGTATAGGCCACAGTATTGCAACGTTTTATTGCTTTCAGCAAATAATATAGTCCTTGAGTTTCACTTCAGTACGGATGGCATGATACATTTCCACCTTGTTAAGGCACTAATAAGAACTGTAAAGAAAATATATACTTCTCCTATGCAACAGACAGAGACAGATGATTCATGTCAGACTCTACAGCCAGCAACCTGGTAACAGTTAAGTAGCCAAGTAATAGAGCATTTATCGGTCACGGTGGAAGCCTTTGTGCACTGTGGCTGGTGTGTGTGGATGCTCGGGGTAGGATGATAGGAATAGTACCTGGGATGGTAGTGGGCTCTGTAGCTGTTCTGAAGGAGAGGATGCCAGGCTCCGACTTGCCCCGCTGATTCTCTGCCACAACGTGAACCTCATACTCTGTATTCCAGTCCAGGCCGCTTAGCACCACATACTCACTGCCATGGGGAAGGCGGATCTCTGGTTTCCAGTCAGATACGTGTTTCTGAGAAATGAATGTAGAGGGAACAAAACTCAGAACTGGTAAACCAAGTAAGATTGTATTCACCCTATAGGAAAGGGTCATTTTAGATCATTTGAGAATGATCCCATTTTCAAGCTGGTCACTGTTTACAAGATAAAAGGAGTGCATTTTTTAATAACTTCACAAACTACACAGTTCCAAGAATTTAATTCAATTCAAGTCCAAGTGTAAAATAATTCATTTGGAAGATAAATGTGAGTTGTTGAATAATTTTATGTATCAGGCTAAAGATGGTTCAGTTCAGTTTAACTATAAAATCATTTGCTAAAACATTAGAGAGGTTTATTAGCACAAAGGGCACCCTCCATTCCGCCCACCAAAACTAGGCTCAATCCCTAGCAGTGGTCCTTTGTGGCTTGGTGTTTAACCAAACACAGTTGCCAGTGACTGGAAGCCAGTGAGGGCTCACTGGGTAGGTTTACTGGGTAGTCTGCCTACACTGTCCCTTTCTGTTGACAACTTCCCCACTGAAAATTCTTCATTCTAAATTGAAGAAAAAATAAACACTTACCTCAATGATTATACTGTTAGAAGTAAAGGTTTGTCACTATTTTAGTGTAAGAAAAATTTAACTACATGAAAAAGTTTCCTTAATTAATGTACTTGAGAGTTGTCAGGTGTGTTTTCTGAAAAAGGCTACGAGTTCCTGCTTCCAAGCACTGTTCCTGACCAATTCTTTTGAAACCATTGCAAAAATTTAAGAAAATAAATGCAAAACAGCAAAAATTGTACCAAGTAACCTCCTTGCCCAGTATACTCACAGCCTTGTATCTGATCAGGTAATGTTTAATGGGGGAACCGCCATCGTCCTGCTTGATCCAGTTGACCTTAAAAATATTGCCCCTGTTTTGGACGTTGACTTCTAGTCTGGGGGCACTGGGTTCCCCTACACAGGACAAACCAAAGGATTATAATTAGTTGACATCCTTAGCCTTTAAACACAAGTTACCTACTGTGCTTCTAACCTTCCTACTGTGTTCAAGTGTGCTTGTGTCTTCAAGGTCAACTAAGCTAAAACTTACATTGATTGCCAGTTAATCAATACTGTTTTAAGATGGGTTTCTCCAAAAATAAATAGGGTTAGAGTTAGGATTACATTAGGTTTAGTTATGGTATCATATGAAAAATATTTTAAGCCTGATCTACCATTAGTGTATGATAAAGGGTTAGCATGGAACATTGAACCCAATTGTCAACCATTGTCAATGTTCTCATCTCAGTAGTTTAGTTAAAAAAATAAACAATCTACATTAAGTCTGGTTAGTGTGATACTCCACCATTTATTTGATTATCAAGCTTTCACCACCTGCAGACTTTAAAAGTGCGTGTACAACAAGGTTCTATGGACATTTTGATACCTGTCGTGAAAACATTTGACTAGGGAAATCCATTGGAACCAACAAGACAGTCCTCACAAAAAAGAAACAAAAAGCTGAATCAGTCACATTCTAATGCTTAAATATGATTAATGTTCTACTTTCCTTTGTTTTCTCTTTCAGAAGCAAAGGTGGAAAAAGTGTGACATTGTTGCATTGCCTCAAAACCTCTTAAGGAGGAGGTTGGGATTGATGTGAATTGGTCACAAACTGTCAGAGACACAGGAGAATGCTGTTTGTTTCCTGTTTCTTACCAACAATGACTTAACTTAACCATGACAACAATCTTTCCCTTATTGACAATAAACTCAACTGGGCCAAGAACACCCAAGCCCTCTACAGGAAGTGCCAAAGCCGTCTCTATTTTCTAAGGAGGCTGAGGTCCTTCAACATCTGCCGGACAATGCTGAGGATGTTTTATGAGTCTGTGGTGGCCAGTGCTATCCTGTTTGCTGTTGCATGCTGGGGCAGCAGGTTGAGGGTAGTGGACGCTAACAAACTCAACAAACCGAACTGCAAGACCAGTGACGTTGTGGGGGTGGAGCTGGATGGTGGTGTCAGAGAGGAGGATTCTGTCTAAACTACATGTCATCTTGGACTATGTATCCTACCCACTCCACAACGTGCTGCTCAAACACAGGAGCACTTTCAGTGCAAGACTCATCCCCCCAAAATGCACCATACAACCATAGAAGTGGCAGGTCAGGAAACTGTCAAATCAATCATTTTTGTAATGGTGATTTGTAACAGTTTTGGAAGGGACTGACAAAGTTATCCTGTACATAAGGGTATAAAATCAGAAAACTTGTATTTTGTAAAGGAAATTACAGTTTATTTTGTAGTTGAGTTAGGAGGACTTGTTGGAACCAACGGGAACTCACTTTTCAAGTCTACAGTGAGGGAGAATTTGATTATCAAAAATAGATTTTGGGTGAAATATCCCTGTGATGGCAGCCTGAAATGACAGAGGGCAGTGTCGCTGCCTCAGAACTAGCAGCTGAGGTGTTGTTCTCCTTGAGGCTCCTCATTATCTGCTTTGCCCTTCGGAGTAATGGCTGCTGGGTCTGGATAATGAGCCTGCAGGCCTTCAATGGACATGTTACTCTATTACTTTTAATAATATATACATAGTCTTTTGGGAGGGAAGGTTGAGGTATATTGTGTGCATGTTTGGTGATCTTGGCTTTTACTCTCATACCACTGTAAGGGCTGTAAGGGAGGAGACTAATAACTTAAACTCATTAATTAGGTACATACTGGTAACACACAGTTAACCTTGTTATTATGTTATTAAATGACTACCTCCTGATGTTACAGCTTTTGCCCTGTGCTAACAATCTGCTAATAACAGCAGAAAAACTCTCACTATATTTTATATAATCTAAGACATGATGCAGATTTGAATATATGACTTTGTTGGCATGTTATTATGTATGTAAGGGATAAGGAAAAACATTGGCATACATTTCAAATGCACACAGAAGACTATCCTGTTTCCGGACCAATATTTAACATTTCAAACATCAGTGTTAGTAGTTGTAGTTAATTAAATGAATATGCATGAAGGCACTTTTTTTGATCGTATGTCATCATCTGAGCGCACTGCCTGAAAACTAAATTCCACTAGACTGGAGTGAGCATGACAAATGCTGGAAGTGAATCAGACAGGGTTAGTCAGTTAACAGCAGCAGTAACATGGTGGCGGGTAGACATTGGTACATTCAGCATTGTTATTCACGAGCATCATTCTGGGTTAGGTAATTTTTTCTGAGGCTAAAACAGAGAAAAGGGTGGTTAGAATGAGAAGCTTCTCCATGCAGGCTGGAAATTGTGGGTGCTGCTACACATTCGGAGGGGAAACATGTGGAGCACAACCAGTGACCTCACACTGACACACATGTAGGAGGCGTGGTTCCACATGTAGCCCGACCTAATGCAACATCCTCCCTCATCTTCCGGCTTAGATTGAGAGATAGGTGGATAGAATTGAAGAGTTAATGAAAACATGCGGTTGGAAACAGAAATTCCGAAATTTAGTTTAACGTCAACTATGCGTGGGTTCATAGTCCCATGTGATAAAATGTTTAATGCTGAATATCATGTAACAGTGATATTTGTGTCAATATTAATTATTGTGGAGAAAGAATGTGACACTAATGATTAGCCTTTACAAATCACTATTATCAATATAATTCATCACGCTTTAAATCTTAACATAAAAATAATGTTTTTGCATTTCAGAGTTTGCGCCAACCCAAATCTTCTCTCATAACATTAAAGTGTGGAACATTTATCAGTATTGTTGCATTCAGTAAATGACATGACACCAAAGACACAACCACATGCAGACAGGACCGACATTTCCTTATGAAAACAGCAGAACAAGAAGAAGGAGGATGCAACAAGAAACAGAACTTGCATGCTGCATTAATGCAATAGTCCAATCAGTGAAACACGGTCAGCTACAGTAGATAATTTTGAGAAAAATGAGAAAAGTTAGCTCTGTTGGTGAGAATGAGGACTGTGTACGTGCGATGCAGATTGTAGTCAGTGGCACTTTGTGAGGGTGCTCCTGTGATGTTTAAATGTGATTCAAAGCACATTGGTAGGTAACAAAAGGTAAATTTTTTATGAAACAAAAGATATGCTGCTTTCAAGTCAAATCTGTGATTTTTTAAAGATTTGTAATGCTACCTGGAAATCAATTCTGACACAATTGAGAGGTTAAAATATAAAAGCAGGGCTGTCAAAACCAACATATAATTTCTAATCAGTTTCTTTATAAAAACAAGAACTACAAGAAAAGGCACACCGGGGAATCACAAATTAAAAGACGTGTGTGCTTTTTAAATCTCAGTGTGCTTACATTAAAATTTAACTACTAACATTGCTGTGCCCGGTTCTTTGTAAGTTACGTTAATTCTTTTTGTTTTGTTAATTCTCATCAAGCTAATCCAGTTCTTCATTATTAAGCTTGTTTTCTTCAAACACTGTGTTTTTTTTAATAAAGGAAAAATTTGTCAAAAGCTTAAATTAGCCCTCACATGATTGGTTGGCACAGCACTACGGCTGATTGAAGCATGTGAAACCTTAACAATCTTAGCTTCTAAGTAAACCAAAATGAGAGAAATAATGCAAAGTGAGATTTAAAAAGACACATGGAATGAAATGTGCGCGCCCAATTACAATGAGATCTATATCATAAGTTGCATCCTGGCAATTTACTATACCTATAACATAATTTTGGTGTGTTTCAAAGAATACATGTTTTCTTTCCAGTACAATATGTAGTAATCCATCAAACTTAAATTACTGTTTTAATGGTCCAACTATGATAAGCAGCAACCATCTGAGAAAATAAGATCACAGATGGGCAACATTAAAATGTTATGGTAAAAAATACCTTCAGATATAACTTAGCCAGCTTTGAAGGACTTAAATCAATGACACAATTTCAATCTGGTATTAACATGTAATCTGTATCTGGATATCTTATCTGGATAAAGACAAACGTATGTTAATACAGGTGTAATGTAAGCCGAGCAAATGTGGTCATAGTTAACAATCACATCAAGCTCGTTCATATAACCACAGTAAAAAGAATGTGGTCCTGGAGTGTATTTCTTACTTTATCATATTAGATTACCTGTTTAGAATTGATCTTTAACAAGGCACTAAGAGGAGAATAGTCTTGCATTGCTACTTTATGACTGCATTGAAAAAAGGGCAAAATGATTCTTGTTGGCAAGAATGATGAGAAATTCAATAATAAATGGAGATGGTATAAATACTGTTGAGTGAAAAAAAATATAGTACACATTTACTAAATGTTTACTACATATTTGCAGGTCTAAAGATGGATGAAAATGGCCAAATAAAAGTGTTTTAATCTCTTGCCTAGAATCGAATTTAAGAAATGCCTTCTGAATGATCATGGCTGAGCTAATGATTTCAAACTAAACAACAAAAAATTACCTTCTGTTGGCCAGCGAAGACGACATCATCAGCACCATGCAAGAGCCACATGACAAAGTCACATGATGTGCACGCACATGATTGGTTGAAAGGAAAATATAGGGGAAGGTAGGGGAAGGTAGTGGAAGGTAGGGGAAGGTAGGGGAAGGTAGGGGAAGTGGGGGCAGGGGGGGGGGGGGGGGGTCAGGGAGAGGCAGGGGGCACATGGGAAACATACAAAACATTGTTGAAATGAATGTCAACAGAATAAACAAATGAACAAGAATGTTAAAGACAAAATGACACAAAAGGAACACAAACAACCAAGAGAAATACAGAAATTGATAAACTGATTTTTTGAATAAAAAATAAAAAAATGTTGCTGAATATATGAAGCAGCTGTAGACTTTTTGTTTTGGTTGTAGAATATAAGCATGTAGAATATCAACAAATAAATAACTAAACAAACAAATCGATGTTGATCCTAAGGAGATTTACAGTAGAATACAACCAAAACTGTACAGCCAGAATTGCTTCATGCATCCAGATAAACAGCTTTTCCTCTGATATATTTTATTCTAATATTTTACAGTGCAAAATTACTGTCCAATCTGAATTTGAAGTATGGTCAGCTCTAACACCACAATTGCTAATTGGTTTCCCTGGGACAAATAAGATATTGGGGTCAAAAGAAGAAGAACAGAGGAAACTCTGCAGCATTGAGAATACAAACCATGCCGACTAAATATGATACACAACACAGCAGACAACAGTGTGAACACATGAAACATCAGGAGAAATAAGGTCTGCATCAGAGTGATGCACTTGCATAAAACACAGAGTAGTTGCTGGAGCATATATATTAAGAACTAAAGCCGATGATGTTTTTGACAAAGTTATTAAAAGTGTGTTCAAAGGGAAAGATTTGGTTAGGAACACTGCAAGGACATACAATTCTAATACAGTACATCAGGAACTCAATTAAAAGAAGCAACGTTAGACATACAACAAGTACTCCAGTGACCTTTAACCAAACAGACAAATCATGTTTTTTTACACACTGCACACTGTTACCTCAAATGTTGCTTTAGGCTTTGTGTAAACCTCAAATGAAAGCCATACACATTCAGATATAGTTGTTTAATGTTACAAGCAGTTAGAATTTCACTTGCTCTTTGCACACGTGATAAAATATCGGCAGGGGCTTGCAAGTGTTAATGATCAGTGCCAGTCACTATTCTGTTATAACCTGAATGGTTCTGTAAGATTTCTAAACAGGCAATGCTGGCCTGGCTCAGTGTATTCTTTACATTACTGTCTGCATAGACAAATCTTCAAGACTAGTGCGAGCTGTCATGAATGTCAGATGATCTGATACTCTGTCTGAGCTGGATGGACACAATGATTAGAAACCAGGCTCTCAACAAAATTTGAAGTGGTTTGAGTGGTTCTCATAAGAAATACAATATGTAGCTGGTAGAGAGGCAGAGACAGGCTCAGTTGGTAGGTAGTAGGAAGTAGATGTACAGTCCTGCATCAAGGTACAACAAAGAAAATTGAGGAGAATAGCCTATATCTTAACTAGTTAGGTTTCTAAACACTCTTGCCATCGCACAATGCTTGATGTTGAGATTAATGGTACTCACTTAAATAGAAGACAGAAAATGGTAATTACAGTAAAGTCTATATAAGCACAACACAAGTTGTTAGCGTGGAGTCCTGTTGTGTGCCACGGACATGAGTCTATTACACATTTTATGGTCAAATGTTGATGTGATATCTACTATCTCAATACAGGACTTAGGAATGATTCTGTAGCCACTGATCTTACTATAACCTTCTCTAAATGTATTGCACCACAGTCAGAGGAGTCTTAAGTATGCACTGTGATTTATACCTTCATGAAGAGACCCACTGTGTTAATTATGTCATACACAACACTAACGTCAGGCGGTGAGGACAACCTTCATGTCCTTGACAAAATGTTAGTAAAATCATAATCTACGTATGCGTATTCAAGGCTGTTAGCAAAGCAATTATGTTGCAAAACTCATTTTGCTGTGGCTATACTCTACAGAGGGTGTATGAGCTCTCTTATGAGCAACACCAGAAATAAATGAACATCTACACTAACTGTAAAGCCAAGCAGGTAAGTGGTGAAGAGAGACACTGCACACTGTGCGACTGGCATACTCACTAAGAGCCATACTGGTGGCAGCGATAGGGGGTGGTATCTCTGATGAAACTGAAAGATGGTGAAAACATGGTCAGAGGAGCTGGAGTTCTCCTCAACAAGAGCAACTCAGTGCAAGGTCAGTTTTGCTTTTATACTGTCTTGGTGTTAAAGAATTCCTCTGGAACATTTCTGTGGAACGCTGACTCCTCTTGTTTTTCAGCATATGTTAACACCTCCACTGTGATGACCATTGTGATGCAACAACATAGACAATTTTCATTTACAGCAGCAACTAACAATTACTTTAGGTTGTCTGATTTCTACAAAGTCCAGCCAACACTGTTCTGACGCTTAACTCACTTTCAAGAATAACACACACTATTATTCTCCTTAAACCAAGTAATGTTGAACATAATGTGAATATTCAAGCTGATGAAAAGACTCTTGAATACTAGGGTGATGTAAACACAATATTTGAATCCAGAATATGTGGACCACTGTCCAATGGCCACAGCTGTGATGCAGAAAACAAACACCAGTCAGGAACTGGGGTTTTAAGAGGAATTCATAAAACCTTTTCCTGAGCAGCAGTAAACATATGCTCTACCCAAACAAAGCTGCAGCTCTTCCACACCTGCACCTAGTAGAAACTAGAAAGCTATAGGATTGTTCCAATTGCCGATTGGATTGCTTATCGACGATTGAAGGGATGATCACGTCGTCACAGTTATGGTAATTATGTGGGAAACACTGTACTGTGCATTTACAGGTGTTTCCGGTGGTTTCTCTTAAAGCTAATAAGCCTGTTTCTTCCATGTTGGCATTTCACTGACTTGCTGCAACGTAAAACTGCCCCCTGGCGATCAGATCGCCAATCGGTGATCTCAAGTAGCCATGATCAGACGATATCAAAATAGAGATGATCGCCCAAACCTAGCAAGCTATTTACAGACTTTCTTTAAATGCATTCTTGTGACCTCTGAGTCTAATGGCAACCCTGTACCAAAATAAAAGTACATGTGAGCACAAAGAGGGATCCTAAAGATTTCTGGGAATTAAAGGCCTGAATATTTAAACCTTATGTTTCCACACGGGGCCATTTATGAGCAAAGTTGCCCAGATTTTAACATTATTACCAGTAAATATTATAATTCCACATTAATTACCATATGATTGTACAATTGTATCTCAACAAAACAGTAAACAGTATACCTTCTTCAAACACCTGATATAACAAATTGGCTGAACTGCTGCAGTGCCCAAACACAATATACTTTATACTAGAGAGACACCAAAAGAAAGATGTTACGAGCAAGCAATACTAAAGAAGCAAGGGTAGTGCTAAGGACAACGGTACAAGTAACTCACTTGCTACAGGCTGTAATTCTGTTATTTCAATTGATCACACTGCTACAAACCTGAATGCACATTAGAGTAACGGAAAGGACTGCAGTCAGGAAAATGAATGCAACAGGTAATGAAACTGACTGAGTACTGATGAAGAAAAAAGATTTAAGGTTTTGGGGTGATGATTTCTTTCCATGGAAGACATCATATGATCAGCAACAGTGTTACATTCACATTATTGCATGTTTCTTTAATCTTTATGGCAGCACTCTAATAGAAGTGAATGGTCAAAGTAAAGCTAATCAATCCAGTGAAGACAGAAACAAGTACAGAGGAAAATAAAGCAGACAAGACAGGGAGAATAAAAACTTACTTGTGAAAGAATACCCTGAGAAGTCCAATGGAAAACAGAACAGATGAGAAACCATGATGAGAAAACAATAAAACAAAAAGAGGGAATGAAGACAATACAATGAGAAATATGAACAATGAAAGAAGGAAACTCTGTCCTGCCCCATCAGTAACCCGCTGTCACACTGCTAATGTGTCTTATTGGACTTTCTGTCTACAACAAGTCCTGCTTCTCTCTTTGTTCTGACCTTGACTTTGATAATACTGTTAGTGTATTACCCTCCAAATTAGAAATTCTTTTTAATGACTTCATGCTTAGATGTGACTTTGGTTGTAGTAGTAATTCAATGTTTTCTTAAAAGGACACTGGGTTTCTGAATGACAACCTCCCCATGTTACTCTGATGTAATATAACACACTAAATGACAACATACATACAATCAAAACTGATTCCTCCGTGTCCGTTTTCATTTAATTTCTGCAATTGATACACAGTTATGTTTGAGCTCTACCTCAAGTTTATACATTTCAAATAGATCCTAGTTCGACTAATGTAAACAAATACATCAGACGCTGTTTTTTTGCTGAAAAATCTTGAAGTAGGACAGAGTCTCTCTCAACTTTAAGAAATTGGGCAAAATAAGGAGGATGCTGAGGAGGGCCATTTCTACAGAAGCCGTGGAGTGAACAAGCACAGATGAAGTGTGAAATAGAAGGTGGGAAAAACTAAAACAAAGATTTATTCGTGACCCTGACTTGAAATGCTGACTGAGAAATAGGTCTGTTGTTGTCTAATTGTACCCTTGGGTAAACTATCTCCACTGTGGATAGACAAATTAAAGGATAATCCCAGTTACCATTTGGGTCTTATTTAAGTAATTTGGGTCATCAGTTATAGCAACATGTAATCCATTAAGTAAATTAAGACAGAGTAAGAAACACAGTCAGATGATCAGAAAACAAAACCAAACTATGAAATTATGATCCAGATCCTGTTTCTGGACTGCTCATGTTTAATGACTTTGTTGTAGCAACGTTGTTATTGCAATATAGCAATAAAAAATATAATTGGAACTAAGAAAATTAGATCCAAGTTGTGATAAAACAGAATTATGCTTCAGACTCAAGTTTTTCATCTTGTCATCAGCTTTTTGATACTATGACATTGCGTTGTGTGGACTGTTGAAAGATTTCTTATGGTGCCTTGTTGATGACATATTTCAATCTCGATTGGTGTGTGAATGCCTTATAACATCCAGAGTGATGGTTCACAACTGTTCAAGAACCAATAACATACTTCTGCCATCAAACAACAGGAGCAAGAACTGTATAACGTTCCATTATGAGACTAATTGTTTTTTTAGGAAGTGAGACTGTTTTTATGGAGGACTGATCCTGACAAATTCAGAAATAAATACAGAAATAAATAAATGCTCAATAAATAAATAAGCATCCGATTAAATGCACAAAAAAACAAAGTAAGTAAATAAATGTAAGCAGTAATTAAATTATACAAGGAGACATAAATGTATATATCTATTTTAATTAGCTTCTTTATTTATTCACCTTTGTAATAATTACCATATTTGCTTATTGTCCGTTATAATCTTCAACTTTATTTATGAATTACTTCTTTTTTTTTATGTGTGTGTTTTAATATTTTTGTCTGTTTTATTCTTCTGTTGCATTTTCTACCCTATTTATTTCCCCAATGGTATTTGTTTCTGCCTGTCCTTTTTACATTTCTCTATGCATTTCTGCCTCATTATGCAAATGAGGAGGGGCTGTGTCTCAAGGGGTGAACTTCTCTCTTATTGGTGGACCAGTCAGACGGGAGAGCTCTAGGCCTGCTCTACCTGCACATATCAACAAGCTTGCTCTTCACACAGATGGCTTCCTTCAGTGCGCTGAGGTGTTTAGCAACTCTATTTGAAGACAATACTACCAGCCATGTCTTCCTTCCCTTTTCATGTGGATGCTCTGACCTACAGAGTTTTCATTTAGCAACTTATACGGACACAGGAAATAAATAGGGTAGAAAATTCAACAGAAGAATAAAACAGACAAAAATATTAAAACACACATAAAAAAAAGAAGTAATTCATAAATAAAGTTGAAGATTATAACGGACAATAAGCAAATAAGGTAATTATTACAAAGGTGAATAAATAAAGAAGCTAATTAAAACAGATATATACATTTATGTCTCCTTGTATAATTTAATTACTGCTTACATTTATTTATTTATTTACTTGATTTTTTTGTGCATTTAATCAGATGCTTATTTATTTATTGAGCATTTATTTATTTCTGTATTTATTTCTGAATTTTTCAGGATCAGTCCTCCATATGTTTTCCATTGTTACAATGTGAAAAATTAATGAATGCAGTTATTTAGTATTATATACAAAGCTTAGTGATGATGTAAATTGGATCTTAGAGATGATTGGTACAATTTATACTTCAGTGAGAAGGCATTATCTGACATAATTGCACAATAATAAACAAAGTTGAGGCATTTTATGTCAAGCCTAGACATTCTGATTAGTGATGATGACAGGCGTTACGCACCTGCTCTTTGCTGTAAGGTTGCAGACAAACCCATATGTTTAACACAGCTTTGATTTGATGCTGGATTATTCACCAAGAAAAACTTAAATGGAGGGTGACAGCAAGTGGCTACAGAACATCTAGCAAACTGGTGTTAGTGTCGTGGTAGTGGGCAAATGCGACATGGACAAAACTCCCGTCATCTGCCTGTCAAATATGTATTCTTCATGTATCTCCCTTACTCTGATAAGGTGACTCTTACTCACCTCATACTTTCTTCCAAAATTCCCTTTCCCTCAAACATTTCATCATGTGTTGCCATTTCCTTCACTAAATATAAACAATCTTCAGTAGGGCTTGACCTCTGGCTGCTATATTAACAATGCCCGCTGTCACTGAACTATAAATACAGAGCTGACACTTCTTCACACTGAAGTATAAATCAGCCGTAAGAATGCACAAGTACTTTCCAAAAAGCTTTCACTAAATCATCTGAGTTGTGGGCTAAAAAGGCAGGGCTTTGCGAAATGGAAGTAGGCACGGCATGACACACTGCAGACAGTCACGAGGAAAGAGGTGCTGTTCAGTGATGAAGGATAAAAAGGTTATACTTTGTATAGTTAACACTTTTGACCAATTTGGGTTGTAAAGTGACACTGACATAAATTATTGTTCATCATGGCCTGGCTGGGAAAGGACTGCACTGGGGCTTGGCGTGAGAAGAGAGGAGTGTAGGGGTGAAAGCGTCTGGGCTCAGCTAGACATGAGTAGGCAGTGGAGTGAGCAACAGCATTAGGTTCAAAGTATTGGGGTCAGAGGAGAACTTACTGAGAGTAGGGACAAGAGCAGTGAGGGCAGTACTTACGGACTGGCTGAGTCTTGAAAGTGCTGGTTGGGCTGCTCTCGCCTTCGCCTTTACCATTGATGGCAGACATCTTGACCTCATAGGTGGTCTCTGGCTTCAGGCCAGAAATGATGATCTTGGTCAGGTCTGTTGGAAGAAAGGTGGCGTTATTCTATGTATGTATGTATGTATGTATGTATGTATGGTTATGTTTGTATATGAATTTTCTTGTTTAGATTTATTATATTATGTATCTTAATTAATTATGTTGACTTATTGTTAGTAGATGTATTGTATGTGGGAGTACATCAGTTTTACTTCTTCCTACTCGCATTCGCACTGAGGAGTTTGAGTACCGGTAAATATGGATTTTATGTTTGTTGTTTTTTTTCCTTTTTACATGTTGAAATTACAGACATAAATCAATAAATCAACCAACCAAGACATGGCGAACAAGGAATAAGGGAACAAGATTTGCTCTTTGCGTGCAAATGAGTGTGAAATAATACTTATTACGGTTAACTGTGTAGGCTACATAAAAACCTAGAATGTCATTCATGTAAAATATTGTGAAAAACGACTATGTACTGCTTTGCCAAAAATAAGTAAACACAGGCCTTATTAGGCATTTAAACAGATGCAGTCATTTTTTTTTCTTGGTAGGAAAGTCTCCAACAGGTCCACCAGCATAAGATTCAAAAGCTTATTTTCATTCCAAACGTCACTAAGACAAAAACTGATGACTGTCACACAGAGGTAATATAATGTAATGTCTCACTGATTTGAGTTCACTTATTTTGTGGTTTCGGTGTCTTGTTTTGCTTTTTCTTGTTCCATTAATTCTGTGTGATCTCAAATTGCTTAAATTGTTAAGAATCATTTTGTGGAAGCTAATGGGGGATCCAAATAAGTCCAAAGAGCTGAAAATATCCTCTGCACAGCAGTGGGTTTCTTCTGGGTGTCATCTGGTGCAGAGCAAAACACAGTAGGCCGAACCAAAAATTAAAAATTCCAGGGCATACAAGGATACCAGAACAGATACTATTTTATTGATAAATTACATGAAGAGCAAAAAGGTGTTTCACAGTCTGTGTGACATGTGAAATGTATAGTTCACTCCAAAATAAGAGCATGACTCCTATATCTGAGGCGGTAGAGCGGTCGTCCTCTAATCAGAAGGTTGTGTACTTCGATCCGCAGCTCCCCTAGTCTGCATGTCAAAGAATCATTGGGCAAGATGCTCAGCCCCACATTGTTCCTGATGGTTGTGCCATCGCTGTGTGAATGTGTATTTATGTTTCTGTTGGCAGAGGCATCTTAGCCTCACAACTCAGAAAGGCTAAATAAGCTCTCAAATGCCTATTCTAACTTGATCCCAATTCAACAGGTTACTATTTGGATGTATTAATGTGTACATGTTGATCCCATGGAAAACATGGTACTGAGCAGTATTTATTTTTACCTTTGGAATTGTGATAATTATGTATCACCTGCATTAGAAGTCACCTATAACTCCAGAACAGACAGTAGCTGCTGGCTGAAAAGGTTTATGTTTATACTGTACGTGCTGTATGGCATCACAGGTATGCTGGAATATACTAAATGGATTATCCATGGAGACCAATGAGATCAAGGACCGATGTGCAGACCAATAGAATATTTGCATGTCATGGTAGCTACTGAGCACAGCACAGCGAACTAGCATCATGGGCAAATGCCATGAAAAGGGTACTCTCTAATTACACTGGGGTTTTGTGGTTTATGATTACTGGTTTTACTGTAGAAAAATAACATTAAAGAGAAATTGCACAAAGGGTGTTTTGTGCAATACAGAAAGAAAGCTATTAGGAAAGCAACAAGAAATATTTTGATTGCTTCAAATATAATATATAAGTGTAAACTTGTGGTGTTTTATAATAAAACAGTTATTTCCATATTAGCAAGAACCATTAAGATTTCAATCAGGATCCACATGTGTTGACTTTTGTTATAAAAAGCCACTTTGTTAATATCTCACTGTGTAACACAAAGAATAGTAATTTCATGGATGGAGAACAAATTTGGCCCCAGTGCAAAACAGCTGGGAAATATTTTTTGATTACGGTGAAAATTCTAAATGTGATTCACATTAATGTTTCAATGAAAAGGACTTTCAGAATGAGCCATGCATAAGTAACTGCCGGGGAAAACTGTATGAATACAGCTAAAAAGTATGAGGCCAAATTAATTCAATTCAATTCTATTCATTCATTCTCTAGCACCACAAACATCAGTAAAACTTATGTCACTGCTGAAACCATTCATGTTCAGAAGAACTTTCCAGCCGGCCCTGAGTAATTCACCACTCATTACCACATGCTGGTTTCCTTTAGTTTCCCTTAGAGGTTATCTTCACGAATCATAACATTTGTTACAAATTCGACTCCGGTGCACGATAATTGTGTTGCTACAATGCATGCTTACTGCAGATTCATGGACTCTGTATTGATGTCTGAAAAATCAATCGTTAAAGCAACATATAGCATAATTGATTATGGTTACAGGTTTAAAGCTGCATTATGTAACTTGTTCCACATTAAATAAATAAATAAAACCCAACAGTGTCCTGGCTTATTTCTAACATTAATAAGTAATTTGCCCAGTTTTTCAGATATCTGTCACTGAGATTTCTTGTGACCCAAATGCTAAATTTAGCTACAGTGTATTAATGTTTACTATGGACCACATATGATACAGACACATGTCCTGTAGATATCTAATGCATATAACACAAAATTTTAAGTGTTAATTGATAAGTTTACAAGGTACAGTATGTAGCATAGCAGCTCTACTTTACTAATGTTTGACTTACACTGCAGATGTAGATATCTATACATGGACCCACGCTGATGGGTGTGGTATCTTTATCTGGCAATACTGCTTTCAAACATGTGATGGCAGCCCTGGTTCACAAGATTATGAGAGAAACTTGAACTCAATAGCCTTTCTATTGACCCATTTCAGCCAGTTGATAATTATTTTATCATTAACATTCTTCTCATATCATTAACAGTCTTCTCCCTGGCATGTTGTAGGTTAAGTAGGCCTGATTTTACAAATTAATGTTTTAAATACACTATAACAAACGTATGCACTGTGCAGTGCAACTGACAAGGTCCATTCAGTGTATGTGTATTTTAGAAAGGCTTTAACTTAACAGATGTGGAGTAGCTGATGTCGTTGAATTAGATATTTTTGGTAACGTTTGCTGTTGGTGTGTGGGACCACGTGTTTTGTTTTGTGCGTACGCCTGCATGACAGACGGCCCTTGGGCCTTGAGTTGACAGCAGAGCCTGTCAGCCTCTGACTGATACATCCCATGTGGTAGACAGGACGAGAACCATACAGATTTGTAAGAGCCACAAACCCTCAGTGGGACGGGGATATTATCTGGGGCCTGTCAGTGTCTGAGCTGACTGTCATTTAGGCTACACTGTGTGCCACCTCTCCTGACATTAGCTACTGTCATGTTTGGATTAACTGTTTTTGGTGTGTTGTAAATGATAAAACAGTAACAACAACAATCATAAAATATTATATCTTTAGTGAATGCTGCACCATGAAAAGTCAATCCTCAATTTCTCTGTTCACTGAACTTTAACCATTGCAATTATTATTATATTACAAGTGGATTAGCTTAATACTAAAAACATTAAAATTTTATGATTAAGAGGCTAGATTCAAAGTTTTAATTAGCACCTTACATGATTTCTAAACTGCTTTATGGATGTTAATTGTCAACAGACATTGGAGTCTGAGTAGAATCTTCTTCTTTGACATGACGTTTTAAGCAACATGCATCACTTGCGTGCTAAGGATTAAAATGGCTTAAGAGGAACTAAGGTGCAGCTGATGCAGGTGATGTATTTTAAGACAAAACTCTGACTCTGAAGAGAGCATTTAATAACACTCCTTGCATCCGCTTTGCTTCATTGAAAGTATATTTTTCAAGGCTTTCAGGGGAAATGTAGGTAAGTGATGATGACTCAGGGGCTTAGACGAGCCTAATTCAAAACTGAATCACATTAAGCAGAAATCTGTCACAGCAGGTGTTTATGATCAGATGACAGAAAAAAGTGAAATTGAGATTTCTTGTAAAAATCAATTGACTTACTTGTCATACTTGTGAAAGCCAAGGGAAGGCAAAAAAAAAAAAAACATGCATTGGACTTTGCCAGTAGAGATGGGTGACTCACCGTCCTTAGCATCGTATTCCCTGCTGATCCAATCCTGGCCTGGCAAACGCCATTCCACTCTGTATTTGATAATGGGCACTCCACCAATGGAGTCAGGCTCCTCAAACTCTAACTCTGCTGTGCTGGAGAAAGGTTCTACTTGTTGAATTTCTGGCACTGATGGCACCTCTGCAACAGATTGTAGACAGAAATTGTTGTTTTTTTTGTCAAAAGTTCTCGTTCTGAAAGCTAGCAGTGATGCAAAGAATCCCCCAACATACCAAAATGATTCAGAAAGTGATTGAAGCTTTAAACTGAGTGACTTCCTACACAAACTTGTACACAGTAAAATTAATATGATGGATTACCAAGACATTTACTAATCACATCCATGCTCCCCACAAACCCTTTGAATACACTGACGCCTTGTCCTTTTGTGTAGCAACACCTCCAAATTTATATTTTTATTGATTTTGTTCTTAGAGGGGTCCACTACTGGTACTTCTCTAAGAACAACAAAATCATCAGTGTGTTGTGCAATCAATAGATCACTTTCATATTGATGTAATGAAAGCTGCAATCTGAAAGTTGGACGTCAGACTTTTAGTCTTGTTTGAATACAAGTACTGAAACTACTGCTCAGTGCCGGTAATTACAAAGTAGAGTTTTACTTTGTAATTTTTACCTCAGTGCTGAAAGGTGAAAGAATCAACCAGTCATCAATCCATCTAGAGACGCACACGCATCATGCAAACAGAAACACCACTGAAAATGATCCATCCTTCTGTAATGGTACACCTCCCTATTATTTTCTGGATTGTGTGCCATAAGCATGTAATGCAGACACTGCTTAATTACCCCTGAAATTGAAATTACTTCGTTTAGTGAAGCTCTTTGCCTCATGCTACATGTCAAAATTGTTTGTTAACATATGTATGGTTAACATATGTATGTATGGTTCATGAACAATGCATGGTTGGAAGGAGTCACTTTAGGCATACTGAGGAGTTATGCAGCAGATATATAAACAGAGAAAAAAATACCTTGAGGTGCCTACAGTATATTACACAGTGGCAGCAGAGGTTCTTAGCACAAGTGATTCAACACCACTGCATTTTGACAACGTCCTAAGTGTTCTGACCCTGGAACCATATTTTGTCATTTGTTTATCTCTCACCCTGCAGCTGTTCTCCTCCCTTAGAGTGTGTGTGTGAGTGTCTACAGGTGATGGAGAACAGGTGGACACCCAGAATTGGTCCAGCGGAGCGGATTGCTGCCTCCTGATTGGTCACCTGGATGACTGCAGCCATCTTAAGACCAATCTGACAATGACTCTCCCCTCTTCACTGCCATTCCCAACATGTGCCTGTGGAAACCTATGTATATATTGTGTGCTCAAATCTTTGTAAGTGGAAAAACCTGTGTATGCACCTTAGTGATTCTGATTGTCTATGACAACCTTGTTTTGTTGGCCTTAGCCATTTTGTTTACTGTACATAGATTTTCTTTGTTGTAGCTTTATTGTGTTGGGTACTGACAATATTAGTAGGAGTGAGATGCCCTTTTTTGTTTGAGTACCTTTTCTCCTGTTTGTATTTGAAGCCTACGTTAGAGCGTTGTCTTTTCTTTACATTTTGTTTTGGTTTAGGGACGTTTTAGGTTGCCTAAAGTCATTTTGTTTGTTGTTTTGAGCACTGCTCATCTCTGAATATAATAAAAACTGCTAAATTGTAATTCCCTTTGTTGTGGCCTTTCTTGGGAAAGGGAAGTGGGGAGTCACACCTTAGGATCCAGGATAGCCCTAGACCTTAGGACGTAACATAAGTGACCCACTTCTTCTAATGGGTTCTAAACAATTTCCATACCAAATGTAGCTAACACAAACTAAATGCAGTGCAGTGCAAAGAAAATAAAGTTTCACTGCAAGTTAAATTTCTGCTGATTATCTGTCTGTGTCTGCACTGTGGAGTGCATGATTCTAAGCATCTAGAAGATAAACGTAATATCATTTTCAATTTCTGTACAGGCAGCACATGGATATATCTTAGCTACATCACTATCAATTGTCTAAAGGAAATAAGCACCTTCCTAAGTTGTTTTGAGGACAATCATGCAATTAATTTAAGACAAGCTGTTTTCATTTCAAAGTTTTAGTATTAGTGGATGATCTTCCCCCATTTATTGTAAATACAAACTAAACAGATCATAACCATTTATCTGTATCCCACTCAACACTGCTGGAATCTTGGTGTTAAGTCTAAACTGTGATATACAGCTACTCCAGCATCTTCCAACATCTCGAAGAACTGAGTCGCAAAGACATTATTTTATTTCTTCTCTTTGGTATTATTTGGCATAAGGCATCACAGACTGGCCAGGCAAGTGCATGTCACATCCTTTATGGGGAATGAAGTGATCAAACCTCCAACTTCCCACTTAGCCATATTTGGGATTTTAAATGGTTTACCCTTTTCTTTGAACTTTTGCTTAATTTGAAAAAGCACTACACATTTTCAGTGAACAAACCTGCTTGGATGAGAAGAAACTCCTTGGACTCAGTGCCCATTACATTGGTCGCTGTGCAGTTGTAGCTCCCAAAGTCATTCTGAGAATCGGGTGTAATCTAAAAGACAGAAATAGACAAAAACACTGAGAAACACCAGGCCACTGCAGGTGAAATACTACTAGAACCTACTATACCTATGAAGAACTTGAATAAGTACGTCATTAGGGTGTAATCATTAGTTATTGCTTTCGTGCTGCTTTCAGCAGTTTGTTCATGGCTGATCACAGAATAATTCATTTGGAGATTGTTTGGTCTTGGTTCACAGATATATAAGGTAGGATAATTATACACTTCTTCAGTTATGCACCAAAATTGAAGAAGTCTCTTGATTGAGGGATGAAATGTCTAGTATCTTCAACAGAGTCCAGTTGCCCTTGACTTTAACCTTCTTTGGATACCTTTATTCAGTGTTACTCTGAAACTACTTGTTTGCCAATAATGTCGTTATTCAGGACACTTCACTGGAAATGTGTTTTCCTGTTTCATTCTTTTAAAATTATCACTACATAGTTTTCTTTTTCATTTAAAATGACTCAATTAGAAATGGCAAAACACGCAAAAATTCTTTGTTTAAGAATCAGCAGGTCAAATCTTTTGACAGCGAAGTGGAACGAAAACTATTTATTTTAATAGTTGATCTCTATCTGTTAAGTAACTACAGCTGTTATCGACATAAAATCTAATAATATCTGAAAGCTAACGTGCTCTGGCAAAATGTTGACTTTCAGTAGATTGCAAAAACAGTCTCATTGTGTTCTATTAACTCCTAATCTTTTGTATGTCTATAGGGTGCAACAGACCTCCAGGTAGCTGATGGCTGGTGTGTTGTAGATCTTCATGTTGGTAGTGTTGGCAGAGGGCAGCTGGAGGCCATCTCTGAACCAAACCACTGAGGCTCTGGGGTGAGCCTCCACCTCACAGCTGATGTTGGCCGGGTTTCCCTCCCATGTGTACACTGTCACTTGACCCAGGATTTTTGGAGCATCTGTAGTAACACACAGAGGAGTGAAGATGGTAAACATCACAGGCATGTTTTGAACAGTTTACTGACAATCTGGCGTGTTTACTCCTTCACTGTGGTTCATCTGGCCAGGACTGAATGATGCCATGATTAAGGAGTGAAACTGCAATCAAATAACCACAGGAAAATGCAAGGGTTTATGCTTTTCAGACATTGATAAATACTACATGTTCGTAACTTTTTCTGAGATAGACTTCTGCAATGGATCCAACTAGTCAAAGCACTTTCAGTGGCCTAAGGTCAAGGAAAGATTTAAATTTAGAGAAACCCATAAAAATTCAACTTACACTAGGCAACATTTAGAGGCAATGTCAATTGTAAATACTTCTTTTAAATGCAAATCTTAAAGTGCCAAAAGTCAATGTCCTACAATACTTCCAGGTATTACTACATCAGTACAGTTTTTGCAGTCATAATAAATACTTGAAACGTTGTAGTGCTTCAATGAAATAGAAAACTATCAAGATTAGGATAATTATCTATTCATCTTAACCTTTCTAAGACCATAGATTTTGCATGTTTACTTTTTTTAATTTAGGGATTCTGTCTAAAAACTTTAACTCCCTTCATTCCCTCTCTCTTGAGCAGAGAAAAAAATGTTTATCCCTCTGTAGCCAACAACAAGACTTGCAGAATCTCAGAATTGCTGTTCTGCTCACGTTATAAGACCTTTTTTGTCTCAGACAGTTGTCATGGTGACATGGGGGTGCATAAACTGCATAATAACTTGGATTTGGCTACGATAAAATCAGTCATGTTTGAAAACTGTCCTAGTGTCTGGGACAGCTAACAAGGAAGTTGAGACGAGCTTTGGAACAGCTCAAACTAGAGTATCTGTAATGGCGGGCAGAGCATGCTCTGTTCTGTTCCAACTTCTGCTTCCGATCTCAAACATTTATGTGGGATATACAAATCATGGCACAAAGCGAGTAGTCTACACTAGGCTTTGGTTTCATATTGGCAAAATGTGGGCACACATTATGAATAAAATGGTCATTAATCCAAAATACAATCTCATTTTCATCTAACAAGAATTTGAATGCAATATTTTCATAATCCAGTGCTAACTCTTCATTCCAGAAGTGTATGAGAGCAGGGAAAGTGGAGATCGTCTATTGATTCTATATATTTTTATACTATTATCATCAAACCCATCAAATCCAAATCCACAGGACTGATAGGAATTAATCATCTTGGAGAGACTACTACTCTGTTACAGGAGCAAGTCATTTGTGGAATGGCAATATTTTCTTCCCTCCCTGAAGCTCTCAGTATTACCAGCAGATTTTATCATGGCTACCATTGAGATCCCTTTAAAAATCTTTGTCAAAAAATAAATTTAAAACACAGTTCAGAAGGCAGCAATGGCAAAGCTTACAGAATCCAGTGTTAATGGTAAGCAAATGCTAAGTGTAGTCTAATGATTGTATTTGTTTTACTTCTATACATTTAAGGTCGGTCTTTTATGGTATCCATTTAAGTTTTAATGACCTGTGCTGGCTTTATGAAACACTGAAGTGCCAATCTTAGAAAAAGTGCAAGGTTTTTTTCTGTGAGAAGCTCTAGCCCAGCAATTACAAAAAATGTCAATGTCTCACACACCATTAATTAAATAGTAAGTCTAATGAACTCAGTCATGAGTAAGCAAGAGCATTGAGTTAACAGAAATAACTATAGAAAATTCAGCTGCTTCATTTGCTTCTAATTGGCATTAGATCCTTCCCCCTACTGCAATTGCTCTATATTCAGGTAGAATTATTCTTGATGCTTTTCTTTAAGTTACTTATTTAATTTAAATTAATTGTTATTATTCCAGCTCTCATGGCTGTGCTGTGTTTATTTATTTTGTTTGACTGTTTCTCATTTTCATTTCTCCCTCAGTTGTTAGCTGTTTATTGCTGATGTTGGGCTGGTTGTCTGTTTTTGTTTTTTGTTTGTTTTTTGTTTGTTGTTGTTTTTCTCCACCCCAAGCACCCCTCCCCATTCTCTTGCAGGTTTCGTTGCTTTCTGCAATTGGTGTTTCCCTCTGCTATTTCCCATTGTCTCCACCCCCCATCCCTGTTCTCTTGCAAGTGTTGTCCTTTCTCTGTGTTGTCTGTTTGTGCGGTGTTTGTGCCCCCCATTCCCATGTCTGCCCCCCTGTCCGGCCCGGTGACAAATCAATACATATTTAAATAAATAATAAAACAGATAAAAAATACTGTTGCTGGGATAGATGGACGAGGCTGAGTCAAACTGCCTGTATCCTTGATTAGACGCTTGTTCTTTCAATGGAGCTTTTGGGCCTCATTGACTCACTACAGTATTTGTGACCTGCCGGTTTCATTTCTGTAGCCTCCTAGTGAGAGTTGAGATTGTTGCTATATATGCAAATAACTTGAAGGTAACTGCTAGTGGTGCTCATTTACAGTATACACATATACATAATACAGTAAAACATAAGAAATGACCTGCTTGCAGCTCAGACAGCGTTTTCATTAGACATTCATGCTAAATAAACTTCAGCTGCTGAAACCAGAGCTCAAGCAGACAAGATATTAACACTTTCATATCAGTCCTTCAGCAGCAAACGTAGACACACTCAGCCAAGGTAATGCGCTCATGCTGTGCAGCAGATAGGAAGTTCCATGCCTAGATAACGTCTTCATTGTGTGACTGGCCGAGTGGTGATAGAGAGGACAGAGAGTGAGAGCTGTGCTCAAGACAAAGCACCTCTTCTTATCGATAATTGCTTGGCAACAGTAAATCAGCTACCTGATTACTTGCTGATTACTCTAGCTAACTGCAAGCCCTCAAACAACTCTATCAACACTGCGTTGTGATTATATCTCTGAGCAAATTGCTGGTGCATTGAGAACGGAGCATATTAATCCAATTAAGCTCTCACTGGCTTCATTTATCGCTTTCCTTTTTACCAAGGTAACATTCGATAGATTTCAAAATGAGATCAAGTACGATTTGGATTCCATTATGCTGTCCAATCTTTCCAAGCATATGTTTTGAGCATTATAAGTTACTGATGGGGAAATGCATGCAAGAAGACATTAACCTTAAACGGTTGACCCTAAATATCCATGAATGAATATAAACACCTCTAAGCAATCTAACCTCAGAATGATGGTCACATTTGAAACCTAGAGCACTGGAGTGCAGAGGCCAAACCAATTAAAAACATTAACATTACAATTCTTACAGACTGTAGCTAGTTACTTACTTCTTCTGCACAATAGCAGAAAATAATTTAGCAATCAACATTATTTGTACCCTCACATGCAGATACACAAAGTATTATTTAGGCTTTACATCATGTCTTGTAACCTTCAAAGAACATTTTTTGCATCTTAATGATCCAGCCCTGTTAAGATATACCACATGACCACAATGCCTACTGTTCAGATCCAACCAGGGTTTGTTGCACGTCATTTGTATCTCTCACCTCATGTCTCATGATCCTGTCTGTGTGTCTGCTTGTCTAGTGTTCTCTGTTTCCCCCTGCTGTCTCTCTGCCTGCCTGCTTGTCTCTCTGTCTCTGCCTCGTTAGCCCTGATCCCGCTCGTTAGTCCCTGTGTATATGTATGCCTGCTTGTCTCTCCAATTTTTGTCACGTCCTTGCGTCTAATGTTGAGTGTTCCTGCCTGTTCCTTTGTTTTCCTTGTTCTGGATTATTCCCTGTGTTTTTGGATCGCCTTGTGCTCTGGATTACCTTTGTTGGTCTTTGCCTCGAGCTCCTTGTAAGCCTGTTTGTTAGTTTTTGAATTAATAAACGTTTTTGTACTGCAACCTCCTTGCCTTGCCATTGTCTGCATTTGGGTCCTCGCCTCAGTCTGCACTCAGCGCCCCGATCCGTGACAGTAGGACGTGACCAGAAATGGACCCAGCAGACTACTCGGATGAACTTTGCGAGCTAGTATGCGACTTAATCGAGTTAAAAGTTTTGTGGAAGGAAGCCCTTGATGATTTGGAACGGGAGGCTTTTGGGTCTCTGGCTCATGGAAATGTTGCTGCCAAGCCGTGGTTGAGGGACTCATTATCACCATGGGCTCATCGCTTCCTCCGCAACTCTGCTCCTCGGCTCAGCAGCAGCATTCAGCTCTCTAGCCAGTTGCTTTCACCAGCTCCTGTGTGTTCTCTGGATCCCTGGCCCGCTAGCGCTGCTAGCCCCAAGCCTGATCCCCGGCCCGCTAGCGCTGCTAGCCCCAAGCCTGATCCCTGGCCCGCAAGCGCTGCTAGCCCCCTGCCTGGCCTGCCCGTCTGCCTGCCTGACCACCCCCAACAAACACCCTGGGACTATGACTCTCCTGGCCTTCTTTGCTATGAAGGCCAGGGAGTCGGATGAAGCACGGGCAGCCAGCCTGCGACCTTCTAGCCTGGAGGCTAGTTTCCCCCCTGGTTCCCCGTCTGATCCACCTCCAGTAAGGCTAGCTGGAGGGCGACGTGGGTCCCGTCGTCGAGCGACCAAGACACCGGCACCAGCCTTGCCAGTGATTCGTTCGACTCCTGTTCATCGAGTCCAGTCGGTGGTCCGACCAACACCAGCTCCGTTGGTGGCCCAGCCGATTCCTGTTCCCTCGTCGGTGGTCCGACCAACACCAGCTCTGTTGGTGGCCCAGCCGATTCCTGTTCCATCGTCGGTGGTCCAACCGGCACCAGCTCCTCGTGTCCGGTCCGTGGTCCTCAGCCCAGCAGCTCAGTCCGTGGTCCTCAGCCCAGCTCTGCCTCCTGAGGTCCTAAGCCCCCTACGCCGGCCCCCTGCCCAACCTCAGGTGAGCCCTTGTTCTTTTGGACGGCCTCCCGAACTCTGTTGCCCTCTTGATCTGCCCAGCCTGTTGGGTCGTCCCCCAGGGCAACCTCCTGAACATTATTGCCCCCCTGTTCTGCCCAGCCTGTTGGGTCGTCCCCCAGGGCGACCTCCTTAACATTATTGCCCCCCTGTTCTGCTCGGCCTGTTGGGTCGACCTCCGGGTCGGCCTCCTGAACTGTTTGCCTCGCCTGAATTTGGGCCCCTGAGACTCTTGTTTTGTTTTTCTGGCCCTCCTCCTGTCCTCCCTTCGCCCACCGTGGCTCGGGTTTTTTTTGGACTTTTTGGATTTTTTGTGTTAAGAACGTCAGGGGACGTTCTTTGAGAGGGGGGTACTGTCATGATCCTGTCTGTGTGTCTGCTTGTCTAGTGTTCTCTGTTTCCCCCTGCTGTCTCTCTGCCTGCCTGCTTGTCTCTCTGTCTCTGCCTCGTTAGCCCTGATCCCGCTCGTTAGTCCCTGTGTATATGTATGCCTGCTTGTCTCTCCAGTTTTTGTCACGTCCTTGCGTCTAATGTTGAGTGTTCCTGACTGTTCCTTTGTTTTCCTTGTTCTGGATTATTCCCTGTGTTTTTGTAAGCCTGTTTAAGTTAGTTTTTGAATTAATAAACCTTTTTGTACTGCAACCTCCTCGCCTTGCCATTGTCTGCATTTGGGTCCTCGCCTCAGTCTGCACTCAGCGCCCCGATCCGTGACAATTTATGTGTGACAGTCCCCTTCAACTTCAAAACATCAAAGTACAGGAGCGATAGATAAATTGCTTGAATTAGTAAGGATGAAGAGATGTTAGACAGACCAAATGTATGTTATATAATGTTAGCTAATATTATTTAAATAAAATAGCCCTGTAGGGCTCTTGATTTCTATCATCGTAGTTCCTTTCTTTCTCTCCCTTTTATCTGAAAATACACCAGGTGAAACTTTCACTCTCTGCGACAATGTTTTGATTGCAGGGATCTGTTAAATTATAGTCTAAGTAGAGATGGGGAAAAGGAACAAAGTGGCCAGTTTAGTGTGAAACTAACCTGTTACAACCGAGCAGTGAGTGTTGACTTTACACTTGAACTTACGGTCAAACTAATTTTCAGCTGGTGCAACAGGCTACAGAACTCTACCTGAAGACGCAACACTAGTCTAGTGTGCCCTTCTGAAGCCAGCTCCATAGTGTGTTGCCAAAAATTTAGATATTTTGTCTAGAGAGGATATTTTGCTCCAACATTAAACAATCATACAAGGAAGAATCCCTTGTTGACAATTCTGACTGAAAGATTTCCACATGCAAGGCAGTCAAAACAGAATAGCTAAAATAGAGGTCACAGGTCTCAAGCTTCTCTTGATTGTAAAAGACTCTCTTACACTCTTACTTTTATATTGCTACTGCTATTGATTTTTCTGCCTACAGTTAAAATCAACAGCTAACGAACAAAGCCCAGAAAAGTTCTCAGGGTGCTGTCAAAAGCCATTTTAGGAAAGAGAGACATACACTAAACAACATTGACTAACAATATATCATGGTCAAGAATTGGATTTTTACAATCTACGACTAGTCACTAACATCTTTAACAGACTCTTGATAATGTCATGACATTTCATTTGAAGACTGGCCTGGGCAAATCTGGAGACAGGAGCAGTTGCAGCATCTGTTTGAGATCAGGGCCAACAGAAGACTCAAGTTTCCTTGGGAAGAATTATTTTAGTCTTTATATGCTGATTCACTTCAGTCCCTTCTTTAACGGAGTGGTTGTGTGTTTAAATGGAATTTTGGTCAAGTGAAAAATATTATTTAACATCTGACATTGATTTTGTTTTTTCTTAGACTAATAGTTCGGCATTTTGGGAAATTTATTTTCTTTCATTCTGGGAGTCGGATGAGGGATTTAGAACATTACAAACTAAAGGTGATGAGTATTGACAGCCCAGATAAACTATTAGAGCAAATGTAGGAAGAGTTGGGTTACTTACAGCGGACTTCCAGGTGCATGTGCTGCTTGTCCTGACCGATGGAGTTGCTGGCGGTGCAGAGATACTGGCCGGCATACGTGAACTGGACGTTTTTCAGTGTGAGAGAGGACACCCGTGCATGGCTGCGTACCACAATATTTCTATCAAGGCTCTACAAAGAAGAGGAGAAAGTAATTATTCTCACCTATAAAGCCTGACATTTACATAGAAATGAATGCATGTCAGTGATTCCCTGAGAGTTTTTATATTTGTTGGACTGAACACTGGCAGCTTCATACAAAAAAAGAGACACAAAACTTGGGAGGAGTCTTGTACAGAGTTGGTGTCTTACAAAAAAGCTAATGAATAATAAGGCTGGCATTATTCTACATTTCTCTCATTGTAAAGTGAGTGCCACTGGCAGGATGTGGAAGTTAAAGACCTTGATGGTTTTGTTCTTTTCATGGGATTTTTTGAATAAGAAAAATGTAAAGGTACACCAGCCTTAGCCATTACAGTATGGATGCAAGTTCAAGTTTAATGTTATTACGTAAATGTCCCTTGTAAAGGAAAATCAGATGACCAAGGTACAGACAGGAACAAATATACATGTCATATCATATAAATTTACCAGTCAAATGAAATTTCTGTCTCTAAAGCTGATGATACACAGAGCAACTTTTAGAGCAATTGTGCAGGGCAACGTTGCCGTCAATGGTAATGAGTAAAGATTAATACCGTAATCCCCTTCCCCCACCACTCCGCCGCCACCCCCCTCCCAGCAACATTGCTCAAAAAGTTGCCCCGTGTATCATCAGCTTTACACATGTACAAACAGCAACACTGAGAAACTATCCCTGCATCAGCCTGGTAATCAGCGAGTGCACAAAGCCTGGACCAATAAACTGCAAACTCCTACAATATGTCGATTACTGTCCCTACCATTTAGCAGTCTAGTTGCAGGTTTACAGACCTAATTGTAGATGGAACAGTATAATTGCAGTTGGGACAAATGTCTTGTTAAACCTTGTTTTTATTTCCCTAAGCAGATCGCATTTATTGCCCTGCCCACTTAAATTAACCTTTTGTATTGTGGATACAAAATTGTGTATATATATTGTTATATTGTGGATATGCAGGGTTACTGAGGATTCAGAGCAAGCTCTCAGCACAGGTGCACAGCTGACATCTGAGGACACCCAATGACCTCACTTGTCATTTTAATTATGCACTGCAACCTAGCTTGATCTGTAGTGTACATGTTACCAAATACAAAGATGAGGCCAAAGGACTGGGTGCTTTGTGTTCTGCTCTATTCTTTGTTCTCAGTAACGTTTATTAGTCACATTTGAACATTTTTACATATATTGTGTTGACGAAAAGCAAACACACTTCTCATCAGGACACAATTGAGATATTTTCTTGAAAATGTGCTGCAGAAGGTAGCAGGCAAAAAATGACATCAATAATGAAGAAGAGCCATGTAGAAGGCCCTATAAAAACTCTGGCTGTTAAAAATACAGTAATAGCTTTTCTTGCCTCTGGGCGACACACAGTCCACACCAACAGGGGATATACATCTTCCTTCCAGCTGCCATGATTTTCTATTAATATATCAGGCATTGTATGTGCTTCAGCATTTTTATTTTATAAATAACTAAATGATATTTGTTGTATCTGCACTATGCCATGAAGTGTTATCCTCTACAAGGTAGGGAGATGTAGATGTGACAGAAACATTTCCACTGTTTACTGAAGATCTGAGGGAGTGTCCTGGAACATTTTGAAAGGGCAGCATTAATCTTGTCTTACTGCAGTGACACAGGAAGGAGCTGCACTGGGTACACTGTTGGAATGTAAACAGGGATAAGGTTAATGGAGAATAATACTTTAATGATACAACAGAGGTAGAAGTGAACAGGCAGACCTTTGAACAGGATTTATTCATTCATTCTAATGAATCATTTTAATTATTCAACTCTGATTTGTCACAAAATTAATTAGAATGGCAGACTTGTAATAAAAGGCATGGGAATGTTGTTTCACAGTTTACCCTTTTTGTGTACTCCGTGCTTCTTTGCTTTGTAGGGCAGAATGACACTGTTACATAACCTGTCAATACGCGTGTTTCACTTGTCATATATTCTGTACTACAACTGTATAGTTGAAACCGCCAGCCAGAATCTGCTGCGACTGCGTCTGTTAGTAATGCAGTGAAAAAACCCTGTTCACTCTTGATATGTGCTGCTTCTATATTTCAGCACCTCTCCACCACCCACAGCCCTACTGACCCTATAAAAAGATGTTGATGATGTATTAATGTCACACTGGATTTCTTTAAATACAAAATGGTGACTGGGAACTGTTCCTCGGTCAGTATCCTAATGGTAATTACAAGGAGGGCATGTGAGAACTACCTCCAACTTGAATTGCAAAGGTTTTTCAGCAGTAAAATTAAGAGATAAACTAGAATCTAATCTAATTACAGACTAAGAGTCTATAGCCACACTAGCGGCACTGTAAGATTGTATAGACCCTGTAGTGAGTTGACCAAAATACTATCATGCTAACGCAGAAAATGTTAACATGCTGATGTTCAGTTAATGTTCTCAATGTTTAATGTAAGTACCGCTGATGCTGATGAGAATGTAATTAGTGTTGATGGTATTTGGTCATTAATATTAATTAACTTGGAATTTTGATCTGATGTTAACAGTAGATAAAAAGACTGGGTATCACCAATGTTATTACAATTTGTCCTGTGGAACATGGATGTCTGTACCAAATTTCACAGAAAGCCTTCATAGGTTATGGATTATAGCCCTCTTCCACTGCAGGCACTTTAGAATATGTAACCTGGGACTTCAAATAACCTGAACTTTTAAGAACATTGTGAGGCTTTTGTACAACTTTCTTGTGTTTCTGCTATATTTTACAAACCATGATATATGCAATTAAAGAGGCAACAGTGGGACCAACTATGTGATTTTTATGTTCCGTTTGGTAGGCGAGGAAACTAAGCTGTTGTGGGACGACAAAGGTTTTTATCAATTGTTTTTTACAAGCAGGGGCACGTTTCCCATACAACCACGGAAGGTAGGATGAAACTATCTTGGCACGATGCATCATTAAACTAACAAACATCTGAAGTATGACCGTTTCCCAAAACTGTCGTACCTTGTTGGTACCACCGTGGTTTGAACTAACTTAGTTTGAACCAACATAGTACGAACTAACATGTTTCCAGGTGTGTTCGTCTGACTTTCACAGCAAGAAACTCCAAAAAAAAGTTGACATATTCTGGATAAATATGTCAGTTGTGACTGATATTAAGTGACATTATTATGCTAACTTATTATTTAGGCTTTTCATATTATAGTCGTACCGGCAATAACAACAAAATCAACATTAGTGTTAATGAAATCAAGAATATAAATAATATATAACCTAATCATTTTATTTAGCCTAAATATTGGCTATGACTTAGAACACCTGCGTCACTTAACGATGGTTCCTACCATGTAAGATACCTCCATAGTTCAAACTAGGGTTTTGGGAAACAGTTGTGTCGCAACTGCACAGTTCCAACTAAGGAAGTTGCTACCGTAGTTAGCAACGACGCTTTTGGGAAACGCAACCCAGGTTGGTGGCCCGCAATGGCATGAAGCACGTCAAACTCCTTCTTAGTTTTAGTTTGCCCTGCTGCACTCATTGTCATTCTTTTGCTATAATGTTGTGCCAACTTTTTATTTTTTCCCCTTTGGCTGTGTGACATATGCATGTTTGTGCTAGACTTTTCTTTTGTAATTGCTGACTCCAGCTCCTCTGAATGGCCTTCTCGCTCGAATTACAAATGACGGCCTGGGCGCGTTCATTTGTCCAACAAGCATTCTTCATTGTTCTCCCATTTCCCTAGTCAATACAGATGTGGTAATATGGTGGTTACTGTTGTGTTTCTTATTGTCATCCTTGTTGTGATGTGACTACACATCTGCTTGACCAAATCAAGATTGACAGCACGAGTGGCATTCTCTGAAAAATCTAGCATTTAGTATTACCTTAAATTTAGTTCAAAGACTTTTTCCCCAAAGTGGGAACAAAACCAGATCCTGTTACCACAGCTACACTTTACAAACATGTGGTATATTTCTGCATTGGAAAAAGGCAATCAGGTTGATGGAAGAAGAACTTTGGGCTCTTAAGCAGAACTGAATTTGACAGGTGGAGCCAATGTCTTCAAATGGACACTGTAGCTAGAATACAGCCTGCGATTATCTGTCTCCCAACTGGGGGCTGGATTCTTCTGCAGAATGTGGAATATGAACGTGAACCTGTTCCATCCAGGGTGCCCTGTCTTAAGTCACAACAATCAGTTCATCTGAAATCCCCTGCAAAGATCCAAGCTGCTAACAATAATAAACAGTATAGTTCATGCCTTGCTTTAATAATGTACACCTTGCAGTAGTTCTGTCATTTGTCTAGTCTGAGAGCTATATGTACTATTGACTGACTGATAAACATTCATACCAATATGTGGTAAATACAACATGGTCATGTGATATTTCCTTCCTTTATGGGTTAAAGAGGATTGCCTGAATGCTCTATTCAGCACTGTTGACATTAATCGCATTTAGCAGGCAGGTTATTCTAATCAGACCCACAGATCAAGTGCCAGGCTGCCTTCTAAAGTGCACTTCTCAATATATAAAGATACACTGTAAATACTTTGCAGTCCTCTTTAGTAAAATATCCCCTTTCAGGATAGATTTATCATCATGACTAATCATATAATGCCTGCTTGTTAGCAGCCTATGATTTACGACTTCAGCTGGCATCTAATACAAGCAAGGCCAAAACTATTATTGGTGACTATTAGTTGGATAAACAACTAATCAAAATATTTTAAATGGTTTATTTATTTTACATTTTTGTCATTTTTGCTGTGCAGAAAACTATATATTATATAACCATATACTGACAATAACGCCCTGCGATGGACTGGTGACCTGTCCAGGGTGTACCCTGCCTTTCGCCCAATGTAAGATTTGCTTCAGCCCCCCGCGACCCTGGATAAGCGGTTGATGATGGATGGATGGATACTGATAATAACTTCAGACACAAATATTAAGACTGATATCTTCATCATAGATCATGACACAAGTCAGTTTTCTT